TTGTTTTACAGGCTTGGCATCAGGTCGCACCATGAGTTTGTGCTTAATCACCTCCCTGGGGACCCCCGGCATGTCGGACGGCTGCCAAGCGAATACGTCTGCATTGTCGTGTTGGAAGGTGATGAGCGCGAGTTCCTATTTCTCATCCAGTGACGCCCCGATCTTGACAGTCTTGTCAGGGTTGGCGCTGGAGAGTGGAACGATCTTGGTTGCACCATCTGGCTTCGGCGTCTTGTTTGTTTTGCTCACTTTCTTGGGTCGCTCAGCTGTGGCGGGTGGGTTGGGGGTGTGCTCAACCATGTCGAGGCTCCGCTTGTCGCACTGTACCGCTAGCATCGCATTCCCTTGAATAGTGATTGTTCCCTTCAGTCCAGGCATCTTGAGTACTTGATACGTGTAGTGAGATGCGGCCATGAACTTCGCGAGTGCAGTCCTCCCGATGATGGCGTTATATGCTGTGTCGAACTCAGCAACATCAAAGGTGATCTGCTCTGTTAGGAAGTTGTTTGCTTGGCCGAAAGTCACAGGCAGCGTAATCTTGCCCAATGGCTTGGACGATGACTGAGGAGTGATTCCGTGGAAGGGCTGATCGGTGGGCGTCAACTCGCTTCGTGGGATCCCCATTGCGTCCAAGGTGTTGGCGATGAGTAGGTTAATGGAGCTGCTGCCGTCGATTAGAACCTGTGCGGCTTTGATATTCCGAATAGTGGGCTCGACCACGATCGGATATCGCCCTGGGATGACAGCGGTCTTGGGGTGGTCGGCCTCTGAGAACTCGATCTTCTGCTCTGACCACTTCATTGTGGGTGCAGCCCCCTGCCATGTTGAACAAACTTCACGCTCCACTTTCTTGTACTCTCGCTTTGAGGAGTACGCCGTGGAACCTCCGAAGATGTGTGAAACATGGAGGTCGGAGTCTGGGTATGCTGAGTCTGAGTCCTGAGTAGCTGCTTCAGCGGCCTTCTCGACTACACGTACTCTCTTGCCCTTCTCCAACGCCAGTTGCTTCGCGAGCGCCTTTTTGAAGACGAAACAACTCTCCAAGGAGTGCTTGTCCGACTTGTGTATAGGGCACCATATTTTCTTCGTATCGTCGCCTTGTGAGTCTGGGTGTTTGGGTGGGTCCGCATATTCTGCAGCGAGGACCTCTGTTTGAGCTTTCCGTTTCCCACTCCTGCGACTATTCTTTTTGCTTGACTCAGGTGCATCCTTGGCTGATTTCTTCTCTCCCCCCGTCTTCGGCTTGTCGTTCTTGCGTCTCAGGGCGTCGTCCGCGTGAGCGCATCGATCGACAATCTCGAATAGCTTACGAGCAGTTGTGATCCGTCTTGTCGCCAACTCCTGGGTGGTGTAGCGATCTCGGACGCCAGACTTGAATGCATGGATTACAGAAGCATCAGTGATCTCGGGGATCGTATTTCTGCACTCATTAAAGTGCCGAATAGTCCCTCAATGATTCGCCTGGATTTTGTGTCAACGCGTGTAGGTCGTCCTCGATTGCGTGGCGCTTGTATGTTCCTTGGAAGTTGGCGACGAACTGCTGCCACAGATCTGTCCATGAAGAAATCGAGTAGGGCAGGAGGTGGACTAGCCATGAATGTGCAGATCCTTTCAACGCCGCCGGCAAATACTTTGCCAATGCGTTGTCGTCTGCTCCGGCAGCGTAGAGTATGTGGAGTAGACCTGAAGGAACTCCTTAGGGTCGGTGCTTCCATCGTACTTCTCTATCGCTCCCGGTCGAAATCTCTCAGGCCATCGGACATCTCGTAGAGCACGACTGAAAGCCCTGCATCCGCCGCCGGGGGCGGTGGGTTGTCGGCGATCATATGTCCTCCGTGGATGTCTGTCTGATGACGAAGATGATGAGGATGATGACGATGACGATGAGTTACTCGGTTCCGGTGTGCGATTACAAGGATGAGACCTGGGTTCTCGAGAATCCTGTCATCGCCCACCGTTGTTGTTCCGGCGCTGATCTCCGTCGTCGTCATCATTACGGCGGCGTCCTCGACCAGTATCACCCTGCATCCGCTGTTCGCGATTATCGTGTTCGCGGCGGTTGTGGCGATTATCACGATCTTAGTTCTCGCTCGGATGTCATCCTTGCTCTTCGTTCTCGCGACGTTGCGAAGAGGCGATGTTGGGAACGATTTTCATTGTTTCGCGTGCGTTGTGCTTCTCGGCGACCATTCAGGTGGTCACGGAGATCACTGGTGCCACGAGGCGGAGGGGTGGCTTGACGAGGTGACGCCCGCTGCTCAGGCAGTTCGCCATTGTCACCACCGGTTGGCGGTTGTTCTGGCGGTACCCTGGCAGCGGCCTCCTCGAACGTGTTGCTGAGGTTGGCCACTGATTCACGTAGTCGTTCTGTCCACTGTTCGAGATCATCGTTCAGAACGGGATCATAAGGGGTTTCCCTTAGTATTGCGTTGATGGTACTAATGTGCTGGGCCGGGGTAGCCACTTGATCCTCCGCTTCCGTGTTGCCGCCCCTGGACGTGCTGGTCCCATCGATAGCGTACACGTCGCGCGGTGTACTTGTTGATGATGAGGCCTGGTCTTCGAGCAAATGTAGAACATACGGCTCGTGGGGATCGATATCGATTACCCCAACGAATCGATCCGAGATAGCTGCCGCTCCTCGTTCCTTGTCCGCATCTCTAGGAGAGATTTGTGACTGCTGGACCTTAGGAGGTGACGTCCTCATGGCGCTGAGAAGAACCTTGTAGCTTGAGAGGTCATGATTCTTCGTCTTGTGGATAGGACAATAGACATCACGGGTTGGAGAAATACGTTGAATTCCGCGCTCTCTGCAGGCACGGATTTCGGCTTGTACGTTGAGAAGAACCCAGCAAGCTTGCAAGGTGTGTTTCCTTGTTTTGTGAATAGGACACTAGGACCTTGTCGCCTCGGAAGTTGTCCTTGTCGGCTCGTACTTCTTGTCGGAGGGACAAGATTGGGTCGCATTAGGATCCTTCTCGGGCTCAGACGTTGTCGATGTTCCGTTTTCCGCTTCTGCGGGAGGATCCTTCGACATGGAGTCTGTCAAGGTCGTAACCACGTCACTCTCACTTCCGGCCATTGCTGGGCCAGTCGAGATCGGCATCGTGGTATAGACCGGGAAAACGATTTCGCCGACTTGGGTCCACACCAGTATCGTTGAGGTCGAAGATCCTTGGTTGATGCCGGGGTTGGCGTTGTCGTCGAGAAGGCTTGAAGTCATAGTAGTAGAACCTTGAGCACCAAGCCCCCCTACCTAGCGCGCCACTGTCGACGGGGGATACCCGTAGACCGGATATAGAGAGTATTGGGGTACGTTGGAACGAGGATCTACGTAATACGACATCAAGCAAACGAAAGATAAGGATTATACTGGTTCAGGCCCCTTGATAGGTAATAGCCCTAATCCAGTTGGTATGGGATTATGTGATGGAAATTAAAGATTACAAAGGGAATAATGGAACTCGATGATACCGACGAGACCGTAGTCGAGTTGGTTCGACTAGATCACCCGGCGACTTGGCTCCTGTAAGCTCTGGCTTCGTAGGCTGTGGTGGATGTGTTGGCGGTGAGATTCAATGCCTTAGGTCCTGCCCAGGGGGTCCCTTTTATACCGCGGGTCAGTTGATCTCTAAGTTGGACTCGAAGATATCGGACCCCACACGGTATGGCAAAAACCTAGTCTTGTCCGAGTAGAACTCCTTCCATCCGTGGATTCTGTATCTATTTCGTGATAGATTTCCTTAACGCATACAGAAACTATCCGTATACGCACTGGTATACCATATCAGTATACAACGTATATCCAAGGACATAGGGTATACCTTATCCGTAACCCTGACAGAGTGTGAGGGCCTTGAGTCGCCCATGTAATAAAGTACTTGTTTTATGTTTCCGCAAGTGTGCCTTGTAATAAATCAACAATGTCTATGTGTACCTCGCCTCTTGGGAGGAGGATTAATGCACCGAGTGTTTGGAAATGGTGTATATTTCCAGGCGTGACAGAAGTACTGGATGCGCTGCATCTCCACGCGCCGCCCATCGGGGGGAGGGGGGCGGAGGGGGAGGGGGATGCCGTCCGTCGCGGAGGTGGAAGGGGGAGGGGGAGGGGGAGGGGAGGGCGGTGGAGGATGAGGTGAAAGAGGAGGGGGCCGCCGCCGCCGCCGTGGTGCGCCGCAGCTGCCTCCGCCGACAGCCGCCGGCCGCGGGAGCACGCTAGATCTGCCGGAGGGGAGGGCGCCGCCTCCGCCTGGCAGCCGCTGGTGGAGGGAGCCCCCCGCCACCCCCTGCTCTGCTCGCCGCCACCGCTCGCGGGTGCTCGTCACCTCCGCCAGCCGGCCACCAGCCGCGGGAGCCCGCGCGCCTCTGCCAGGGAGGGAGAGAGACGAGAGAGAGAGACGGGGGAGGGGAGGGAGATGATAGAGAGAGAGAGGGAGGCATTCGAGAAGGGCTGGGAGGGATCGATACAAGTAGATATGGCTAGGAGAGATACTCGGCTCCGTCTCGGCTCAAAGGTATAGGTGCCAGTTCTTTAAATAACCGGTACCTATAATATACTATAGGTGCCGGTTATTTTAAAAAACAGGCATCTATAGTATAGGTGCCGGTTCTAGCGTGTATAAAGGTGCCGGTTATATATTTTTTTCCATCGTGGGGAGGTGGGAAAAGCTATGTGCCGGTCCCTATGAAGGTTCTCGTAGTAGTGGCAAGATCCTACGGCGAAGAAAACGTTAAATACCCCAAGAAAAAAAAAATCGGCTGACAGATATTTAGCAAAATCGTTGACGTAGACATATACATGGAGTATATGAACACAACTACGACAAAGTTCTGCCCAGTAAAAACGGCCCAACGAATCTCTGACAGTCACGCAGGAAGCCTGCATCTCCCCAAAGACCCACTTATACCTACTCTACCATCATCCATGAGGAGTAGCCCTGAGCCCCTGACCCGGTCTCCATCTCCTGGCTGGGTCTATATAATATAACCATCACCCAGGGCGTCTCTCTCAATCATACCATCACAAACACCAACTGCAACTGGAGTAGATAGCGCTACCTCTCTCCGGGCTGAAAGCTACTGGCCATTATCATTGTTCTTCCAGCCATGGATCAGCTGCTGGCCCTGGCGGTGGCAGTCCCGCTGTTTGCTCTTGCCAGTGCACTTGCTGCTGCCTCTGCTACGCCGGTCAACAAGTCCTGCCTCAATGGTAGCACCGGCGCCGCCGTCAGCATAGGGTACGGTGGTGCCAGCGCTAGCGCTGGCGCCGGCGCCGGCGTGTCTCTTGGCACCGACGCGTACTGGTTGGCCTGCCCACTTGCCGAGGAGATCGTCCGCGACGTCGTGGAGAGGGCTGTCGCCGCCGACCCCCGCATGGCGGCGTCCCTCCTCCGTCTCCACTTCCACGACTGCTTTGTCAATGTGATTATCTTTCTGTTTGCCGCGCTACATGTGTGAAGTGGTCGTCACTCGTCAGGGCCATTGATGTGAGCATGTCGATGTGTGTTTTTTGCTAGGGCTGTGATGGCTCCGTGCTCTTGGACGACAAGCCGTTATTCATCGGCGAGAAGACGGCCGGGCCGAACGCAAACTCGCTCCGGGGATTCGAGGTTATCGACGCCATCAAAGCCGAGCTCGAGAACGCGTGCCCGGAGACCGTCTCCTGCGCTGACGTCCTCGCCATCGCCGCGCGCGACTCTGTCGTGGCAGTAAGCCATATCTAGCTAATAGCCAAGCAGATATATACCACGCATGTGTGTAAACCATCCAAACTGTAATTGTTGCTCACGTTGTGGTTGTGTCTTTTTCGAATGATCAGTCAGGCGGGCCGAGCTGGCAGGTGGAAGTCGGCCGGAAGGACAGCCGCACGGCGAGCCTGCAGGGCGCCAACACCAACCTCCCGGCGCCCACGTCCGGCGTCGCCACCCTCGTGCAGAAGTTCCGGAACGTTGGCCTCTCGGCCAAAGACATGGTCGCTCTCTCCGGTAACCAAGGCTCCTCCATCTTCGAATTCGAATACGTTACAGATAGCTCGCATATGTTCATGGATTGCGTCCATGCATGACGCAGGCGCGCACACCATTGGTAAGGCGCGGTGCACGACGTTCAGCGCACGCCTCGCTGGCGTCGGCGCCTCGGCCGGCGGCGGTGCCACTCCAGGTGACCTTTCGTTCCTCGAGTCACTGCACCAGCTGTGCGCAGTGTCCGCCGGCTCGGCGCTGGCGCACCTGGACCTTGTCACGCCGGCCACTTTCGACAACCAGTACTACGTCAACCTGCTCTCCGGCGAGGGCTTGCTGCCGTCCGACCAGGCGCTGGCCTCGGCCGGAGCAGCTGCTGCCGGGGCGGAGGACGTGGCCGGCCTCATCGCAGCCTACGCTTTCGATGCGTTGCTCTTCTTCGACGACTTCGCATCATCTATGCTACGGATGGGGAGGCTGGCGCCGGGAGCGGGCACCGCCTCCGGCGAGGTCCGCCGCAACTGCCGGGTGGTGAACTAGCTAGCTAGGTTGCTGCATGAAACAAGAAGGAAGCTGATTATGCTCCCAAAATTAATTAGGAGTATCTGTGCATCAGATAATTGCGCCAGCTATATATGTATGTGTCTGCTAGTTTCTCAATCTAGTCATGTATCGTTAATTAGCTAAAAAGATGATAGCTGGATTATCCATTATCTTAAAAAAAATTAACTAATGGTGTCTGATATTTGATTTGTTTAGTTAATCAGCTTATCTGATATATATATGACTATCCTGCATGTAATCGAATAACTATACTAATAAAATCGGGCAAGTCATTTTCAGTCATATATATTACAGGATGTGATACAAATAATCACATTAAAAAAATAAAAATGTTTATTGCACAAGCTATATTCTAAACAAAATTTATAGCGCACGTACTGAAACCTTTAGAGCATCCCAGCAGCTCCTCTATCCGATTCTCCATCCCTAAATTGGCGCATAGGAGCGAAAAAACCAGCTCCAGCAGATGCGCCATCCAGTCATTCAAAACTAGCGCATGCGCCAAAACCGGAGAGAGAAAGGGGAAATATAGCATGTCTCTCTCCTCACGCCATATCACAACGACCGCGCTCCCGCCCCCATCCGGAGTTCGGCGACCTCTCCTCCAAAGCGACCTCCCCTCCATCGTTGTCGTCGCCGGCCCGTTTTTGATTTTTTTTACAGAGGACGGTGGAGAGGGAGGGTTTAGCCGTGGAGTGAGGGTGGAGAGGGAGAGGCATACCAGATCTAGAAGGAGAGAGGGGAGAGCGGCGAGGCAGCCGACGGGGAGAGAGGAGCGGCGGCGGCGTCCTCGATCCGCAGCCTGCGCCGTCCCCGATCCGCAGCCGGCGCCGTCGCCGCTAGGGCCGACCAGCGTCGTTGTCACTGCTCGGGCCGCCTGGCGTCGCTCACCGCCCGGCACCTCCGTTGCCGCTCGCGCCTCTCAAGTCCGCCGCCGCAGCTCAACCTCAAACCCCGTCACCATTCTTGCAATGACGCTGTAGGGGCCAGTGGTGGAGTGGGGATTGAATGAGAGGGGAGGGGAGGGGAGGGGAGGGGATTAGAGAGGAGGGAGGCGAGAGCGGAGGATTGGAGGAGGGAGTGAAGGTGCGTGTGGTGTAGCGAGGCGGTCGAGGGTGGGGGATGCGATGGAGCTGTGCGGCAAGAGGAAGGGGATCGATGAGGAGTTGAGGACCTATGCAGATCGATTCCAACCGGTTTTGTTTTTTATTCTTTATACCCTTTTCACCCTTTATTAAGGACTAAGTACATTCAGTGGTTGGGTTAATCACTTTATTAGGTTCTAAACAAATCAGCGGAAGTCAATTACCCGTTATTGCGATTAATAACGCAGATTAAAATTTAGTAGTACAAAATATATCCCATAAAACACAAATATAGGGTTAGTTGAAAGATATTATTAAAATATAGGAGGATGGGATATGTATGATGTAATATAGATGATCTGTTGGAGTGGGAAGCAATATGAATGAGGAATATTTTTTGGATGACCATCCATATAGGTATTTAGAGGATAAAATATGGATAAGCTGCTGGGATGCTCTTACAATGAAAAAGGTGCTAAGTTACATACCTGCGTTTCATCAATATTAAGCGATCAATGTCAGCAAATATCATGCTATCTATTTCAAGATAGATAAACATGCACCGTATTATGCACAATGGCATACGTTGTAAAGAAGCAAGTAATCACGCGGAAGAAAACGAGTCAATATGGATAGTTTGTCAGAGAACATTAATTGCTATTAACAAATTTATATTGAACCAAAATATGAATAAACATATCCCATAACTTTTATAAATTACACATATTTATTTACATGGTGAATCATTATAATCTAATACGACCACAATAAAATTCATAAATGAATTTGCCATGGTTACCCACTTTGTCGACGCACTATGCCAGAGCAGCTCACCTCTAACGACATACCTGTGATGGGCCAAAGTGATGGTCATTGATAACCGTCACCTTTGATGGGTCCTACAGGATGCCGTTATCAGTGAGCCCTCCGGCTATAGACCGTCATAGGTATCAAGTCAGCTGTTATGGGCCGAAAATGAAACCCGTCAGATGAACACCTCTGTCAGATTCCACTTCCGGCCCGTCACAGGTGACTTGATACCTGTGATGGGCCGTGCCTCTCCGGCCCGTCAGAGGTGTGGTTCAGTCACCTCAAACAGGTTTTAACCCTAACCTATTTGGGGTGAGTTGCGGTGTATATATACCCCTAGCGGCCACCTACTTTCCATCCCAACCCAATGCATTGTTCACATTTCGGGTGGGAGGGTGTGGAGTGCGATTTTTGGCTGGAAATGGAGGTAAAAAACTTTAATAATTATTTTTTTCTAACGTATATTATGCATTGTGTTTTACACTCTTTATGTTATTAATTGCAGATGGACCGAAGTTGGATGTACGATATTCGCCGTTCGTCCCTAGAGTATAGGGAGGGGGTCACTGCATTCATTAGTTTTGTGGATAATGACATGAAAAATAGTATGAGCAAATATATGTTGTGTCCATGTGTAGATTGTAATAATGAGAAGATGTTCGAGAATAGTTTATGGGTTCAATCTCATATGATCCGTATAAGATTCATGGACGACTATAGATGTTGGAGCAAGCATGATGTTTGATGGTAGTTTGTACATGCTTATAAAATATAATCACTTGTATATTGTGTATTAGGGCCTGTTTAGATTCCACCCGAAATTTTACACCCTGTCACATCGAACGTTTGAACACCTGCATGAAGTATTAGATATAGGCTAACAAGAACTAATTACACAGATTGTGACTACTTTGGAGACGAATCTTTTAAGCATAATTTCTCCATGATTTGATAATATGGTGCTATAGTAAACATGTGTCAATAATGGATTAATTAGGCTTAATAAATTTGTCTCACGGTTTACTGACGGATACTATAATTAGATTTTTTTATTAGTACCCGAACACCCCATAAAACACCTATATAATACCCGATATGACACGCCAAAACTTTACAACCCTATATCTAAAAACCCCTTAATGGTTGATTGCAAGAAACAGGTCAATTAGCTAGGTAGCGATTCCAACGTCATCACACAAGCTAATTAATTAAATGATTCATGCATGCATGTACGTACAGAGGTGGCCTGACATTTGGTCGGGTAGATGTGCCGTTTTTTTTTGACAAATTGAACCTTTTCAAAAACTTATTTCGAAACTAACCCCTACCAAAAACTTCAACCAAAAATAGGCCGTTCGCTCAGCGCCATGCGCATTGGCGCTGAGGTTGGACATGTCAGTGCCAACGGTCGTGGGCGCTGACCTCGTGCCACCGTGGCGGCCGGGCCGATCCCCCAGCTGACGTGGCAGCTACCTCAGCGCCGACCGCTTCGGCGCTGAGATGGCCAATCTCAGCGCCATCCGCTTCGGCGCTAAGGTGGGACTTAGCCTTTTCGGCCGAGTCCCGACCCAGCAGGCCGTCTGTCTGGCTGGCGGGGGGGGGAGGAGGGGGGTGTAACGCCCCGATTTTCGTTCGGGTTTAAAAATCTTTAAATAATGCATTTCCTAGAAATTAAATAAAAAAGTTAAGCAATTTAATCAAGTGGAATAATGGGAGAACTAAAATTTTCCCTTTAAAAATCATTGGCCGGGAATATTTTGTAATATTCTTTGTGCCCTAATGTACTCTCCGGAATTTTCCGTGAATTTTCGGAGCTCAAGAAATAGTTTCAATAGCAAAAAGATCATTGCATCAATTAGAATAAAAAGAAAACAAATAAAATTTCCCCTCTTTGTCTTTGGGCCGCTTTCGGCCCAAGATCTTCTTCCCCTTCCTCCATTCCCCCCCCCATCCGGCCCGGCCGGTCTCCTTTTCCTCCTCGGCCCGCCCGGCCCTCTCTCTCAAAGTCTGCTTCCCCCCCCAACCGGTCTCCCCTCTTCCTCTGGCTGACAGGTGGGACCCGCGGCCCCACCTGTCATCTCCTACCTCTAGCTCCATCCCCAACCGCCGCCATGGCCGCCACATCCTCCCACGTCGCCGCCTCTCCCGCGGGACTCCCTCTCCTGCGCGTGCGTGGACGCGGTCATCGCCCACGTCCGCGCCGTTTCCCCCCCTCTCCCCGCAAAATCCGGCCACGTCGCCGCCTCCCGCACCTCTCTCTCCTCCCACGTCGCCGGCCAATTTCCACCCCTCTCGGGCTCGATCCCGCCTCCCCTCCCCTATAAAGAGCATCCCCGGGGCTTCCTCTCCCGTTTCCCCCTCCTCCCCGAGCCCGCGGCGCCTTTTCCCGCTCTCCCCGCGCGCGCCCCAGCTCCGCCGCTCCTCGGCGAACTCCAGCCGCGCCGCGCCGCCGCTCTCGTTCACCCCGCACTGCGCCGTCGCCCTCCCCGGCATCGCAGCCGCCGTGCGCACCCCGTCCACCGCTCCATTTCCCCTCTCCACCTTCGAAGCGCCGCAGCCACGCGCACCACCCCTTTCCGCCGCCGCCGCCGGCTCCAGCCGCCTCTTCTCGCAGCTTCAGCCACCGCCGTGCCGTGCCGTCGCCACCGTCGGCATCGCCGCGCCGAGCTCCACCCCGTCCTACACCTCTTTTCCCCAAATCTCCCACCAAAATTCCACCTCCGCTGTCCACCCGAGCCACCTCAACTATACCGCCTCCAGCCGCCGCCTCTCGCCGCTCTAGCCGTCGTCGCGCAGCGTCGCCGCGCTCCACCGCACCCTGGCTGCCACTCCACTCCGTCCAGAACCCCACGGGAGCCGCTTTTCCAAAGTCAAGGTCTTGCCGGCCCTCGGCCGCGGCTCCGTTGTGGCCGGGCGTCGTCGGAACGTTGTTCCCGTCGCCTCCCATCCCAGCCGCCGCCATCCTTTCCGCCGCCGGTCGTCGCCGAGGCCGCCCGCGCCGTCTTCCCGAGAAGGCGTCACCGCCGCCCGTTGTCGTCGTCGTCCTTCCCGCGTCGGTGAGCATCTCCCTCCGCCTCCCCTCCCTTTCTTTTTCTCTCTTTGCCCGCCGGCCGCCGCATGCGTGTCGCCGTCGCGCCGCGCCGCGCCGCCGCCGGTGTCGCCGCCGGTGGCCGTCCGGCTGCGCGCCGCCGTCTGGTCGGGTTGGTCGGCGAGCCAACCCACCCCTCCGCCTTGCACCTCTACCGTGGACTCGGTCCACGGTGGGCTAGATCCTTTTGCCCGCTGACGCGTGGGGCCCGCTCATTTGGTGGACCCGGTCCAAGCCCGCACCTCCTTGACCCGCTGACGTGTTGGGCCCACCTGTCGGCGCCGGCGCCCCTTGCTGAC